GTGGGACCAGTGCAGCATATCCAGCGCAGCATATCCAGCGGCAGCCCCGCGGGTTGCGAGAGGCTGGAGGCAAAAGCGGAGCCCGAGCCATCGACGCAGACGCTTGGCGAGGAGCCAGGGGCAAAACTGGAGTCAGAGGGGAAGCCGAAACCCGAAACCACCAGCTACAGTGCCGGGATCAAGGCATTGTGCGAAAAGAGGGAAGCTAACGCGTGCGAGAGAGGCGGGCACGGGCAGCACGCAGCGGAGTTGAATCTGGAGCCCGAGAACACCAGCTACCTACCTAACGGGCCTCTTCCCCCGAGCCCAGAGAGAACTGCGCCCCGGGAAAGGTGAGGAAAGAGCCCGACGCCATCAGTAACATCGTGGGCAACGGCACGGACGGGACATGCGCGAAAATGGAGTCGACGGCGGCGACTGTAGAGCCCAACGACGCGAGCTACAGTGCATAGCCCAGAACGTGGGTCCCCAACGCGTCAGCCATAGCAGCTCCGAGCTGCGAGGGAGCTGATTCGGACAAGGCGAAGCGCGAGCCCCGCGCCATCAGCCACAGCGCGGAAATCTGCGTGGGCGGGGACTGCAGAGGCGGAGGCGAAGCGATAGCCCAGCGGAGCCAGCTACAGCGCAGGGATTAGTGCCTGCGCGGCCTGCGAGAAGGTTGCGTGGGAAGAGAAGGGAAAGCCAAACGTCATCAGCTACAGTGTTTGGGCGCTCGAGAAGGGTGGGCAGGGGCCACCAGGAGGGATGGCAACCATTTCAGAAGTGGCGAGCGTGGCGATGTGGGCCGCGCGGTTGTCATCGCCGACGCGCGGCTGCCGGGCGCCATGGAACCCGATGGAGTTTTGAACGCAGCGAACGAAAAAAAACACGACAGCTGAGGAAGGAGGCGGCGAAGGTGAAGCCAAACGTCAGCAGCTACAACGCGGAAGGCGCCGAATCCCGCCACGAGGAATCCTTGGCGAAGAGAGTTGGCCGCGGCAAGTGGCGAGGCCAGTCAAGGTCCCGACGACCGACGAGTGCTTATAGGGGCCCGGCGGAATGTGACTGGAAAGGGAGGGCCGAAGGACCGCGCCCGCGAAATGTCCGCCCAGAGCCGCGCACCCTGGGGAGCCCGCTGACAGCCCGCTGAGAACGCGGGCGCGCCCAGGGGAGTGGCCAGAGCGCAGGGGGCCGCGCGGCACGGGAAGGGCGCTCGCCCCGTCGCGAGAGGCGCGGCGGCGCGGGCGCCGCCGGCGCCGTCGGCGCGCCCCGCGGCCGCCTGCTGCGCTGCCGCCGCCGCTGCCCGACGCGCCGCCGGAGTTGCCGCTTCGCCGGCGGAGCCGGCGTCAGAAGCGCCCGCTCGCAGGGGCGCTCGGGCCCGGCGGGCCAAAAACGGGGCTGGTCCGCCTGCCGGCCTGCCGCGGGCGGGAACGGGCGCGGGCCGGGGGGGCCGCTGCGCCGGCAGCGGCGGCTGCGGGGTCGCCCAGCCTCGCCCGGCGGCGCCGCCCCCGCCGTAGGGCCCTCGGCGCCGCTCCAGCGAGCGGCGCCGCCCGCGCGATCGCCTCGTCGGCGGGCCCCGCCGAGCCCAGCCCCGCGGATTTGGTTCTGGCGCTCGCCGGCAGGGGCGCCTCGGCTTTCCCAGCCGGCGCCCCCATCCCTGAAGGCACCGTCGGGTTGGCGGCTGCGCCTCGGCGGCGTCGCTGGCTGGACCGGGGCGTCGCTGGCCTGACCGGCGCCTCCGTCGCCGGCGCCTTTGGCGGGGGGCCGATCGAGTCCGGGGGGCGCATCCGGACCTCGGGGGGAGGCCGCCCGTGCCGCGTCGCCAGGCCGCCCGGCCGCGCCTTCGCCTTCGCCTTCCCCTGCCTCGCCTCCCGCCGTTGCGGCGGCTCCAGTATCGCACCGCTGGCCTGCAGCATGGCGCGGGGGGGGCGGGTTCCGAAGTGCCTTAAGCAGCTGCCAACCCCAGCCCGCCAGGAGGTGGGGGAGGCAGACCCAGGATCGGGCATAGCCCACAGCCAGGGCCCCAGGTAATTAAGGGGACCCGGTTAGGAGCCCTGGGGCCCCTAACTTGGCCAGAACCATTAAACCAGGTCTGCCGTAGCTGGTGTTTTTTCGGGCGACGGCAGTTCCGGCTAGTGGAACGGGGCACAGGAACCTTCCGGCAGCCACTGCATCGGCGCGTGCCCGCGCGCCGCGCCCCGCGGCCCTTCGGCCCCCCTTGTGCCGATGGCCGCGGCAAGCTCCCAACCTCCGAAAGGGGTCGGGAACTTGAGCCAAAATGATTGCGGACCAAACACCGGCCGAGCACTGGTCTAACGCCCGCGCGGGACAGGCCCAGAGACCCCGCGACCAGCCAGTCGACCAGAGAAGAGCAAATTGATGATATACAAACATAGGGAGGACCGAACGCAAGGAGAAGGAACAGAGGGCGCGGTAGGCGGCAATGCGAAAGAGCGCAACCAACTGATCTAAAATCATTCAAACTTACAGGTCCAAGCGCGATGAGAATCAGCTGGGACAGAGAAGCGCGGGAATATCATATGCCGTCGAGCCGGGCTCATTGCGCCAAACATGGCAAAACGGCCAGGGTACAGTCAAGAAGACAGAAGGTTCTCAGCGCTTACCGAGCTTGCTTCGATCGAGAAGTTCGCCGACTCGACTCTCGTCAACTTCGGGCACGCGCGCTTGGAGTGCATATTCCTCCAGTAGTACGTTCAGAGGTGGGAGAAGTTCTGGGAGTTGTATCGAATGATATGGTGGAAAGGACGTTTCGGTCGGTGGGCCAGCGGGAGGGAGGGGGGGAGGGCATGCGGGCGCGCGTACTTCGAGATTGGCGCGCGGTGCTCACATCAATGCACATCGTTGGTATAAAGAACACGCACTATCTCCATGCGCGTCGAATCTCTATTGTAAAGTCATTGTCGAGCCTTAGACGCGGCACTGTCGCCGAGCCTTAGACGCGGAATCTGCGCAGTAGATGCTGCCAGGTGCGTGGCAGAGATGCGCGTGCCGACATTGCCAGCTCGCCCGCCATGTCCCCGCGCAGCTAGCTTGTTCGAGCATTTGCAGCGCCACTGTGCTCGCGTCGTAGATCCTTTCCGAATGCACTGCCGCCCGATAGGTGCCAAGCCGGCTCGTCGAACGCAGCGCCGTGTTGAAGGCGTGAATTTACAGGGCGCAGCTTCGCAATCCGCTTGGGGAGGAGGCAGGAGCGCAGTTCTCAATACATGTTCGATCATATGGACCACGTTCGCATTGAGCAGTGCAGCGGGGCTGCGAGAGGTGCGCTGCGGAGTGCCTCGGGCGTCGTTCGTCCCAGTGGCCAGCGCTTCGGCCGAGGGCGCCAAGGCAGCGGGCGCCGCAGACCACGCCAAAGGTCAGAGGATGTCTGAGGCAGGGAAGAAGGAGGATTGAGGGTCGCCGTTTGCACGCGCATGGGTGTTCTGGCCCAGAGCGCGGGCACGGACCCGGCATGCCCAGCAGAGCCCTAAGGCGAGATGGGCCAGTGTTGGACGCATGTTGTTATGAACATGCCAGCGCGTGATCTAGCCAATGAGGTTGGCGAATGCCGAGCCAGACACACCAGGGATACCGCAAGCAAGTCCGAGACGCTCCGTCACGCCATCGTTGTCGACAGCCAGTTTCCAGAGTTGGAAGTTGCGGCCAACGTGCGCCTCAAGGCGAGCGTGGGGGCTCGCAAACATGGGCCAGCGCCCCAAGGATCACTGGAGAGAGACGCCGCCCGTCTGGTCGACCGCTTCCACACGGAGGACGTTCGACAGGTCCGCAGGGAGGTCAGAGGGCTTCTGAGATGAGGGTTCCAGTATAGGTGCCGCTTGATTTTTTGGGGCGCAAGCGCTTCTTGGAAGTGCAGGCGCGAGGGGTCTGCAGCTTGTAGGATCCAGCAGTAGTAGCTCAGGACCAAGTGAATTTCGCCTTCTGCCACTCCCAGGGGTACGGATACATTCCATATCCAGGGTTGTGGGTCGAGCTTTCGTAGCAGAACCCCGTGCGAAGCCTCCATCCGGGTCGAGTTACAGGTCGTATGCTTTAAAACGAGTTCGCGCTTGAGCGGCCGCCTCCTCTCCTTCCTACATTCCCTCTCTTTATCTCTCTCTCTTTCTCTCTCTTTCTCTCTCTCGCTCTCGGAGATTACCACCATGAGTTTGGCCCGTGGTCGGTTTCACCAAGCCTGGTATAGCTTTCTAGCACTATCTGTGCAGCCTGAACGGCAGTGCCAGGGACCCCCTTCAGAGCTGTCACCACTGTCTGGGCGGTCATTGGGCCAGGGTCTCCCCCGCGTGCAGGGCGGGGAAGCAGACCGCCTTTTGCGGCCACCTGAATCTAAACGCTCCAATTACGTGCATGCTGTTGGTATGTATTCGATGCGCTTGCGCATTCACTTGGCAATCTATGGACCCCAGGGTTTCTTGTCTTGTCTTGGCTCATCCTCCTCGTCCTCCTCCTCTTATTTTTCCTTCGTGCCCACTATTCCCTGACCCCCCTCGTCCCGGTCCGCCGCCCTTCTCGGCTTTCGAGGGTCTTGCATTCACGAAGGTGCACGATGTAGCGTTGAATCTCCGACGAGGGGCAGCGCGATTTCGGACCAACGGCCGCTCCTGCCCTGCTTGGCCTCGCAGCCCAAGCTCGGCAATACGGGAAGCAGTGTGCCCGATGAAGCGCGCATGTGCAAGCGATGATGACAGGATCCGCTCATAGCCGCGCACGGCTCTCATTGGAATCGCAATGTCCAGAGCACCCAGCCCACAGGGTTCATTTCGACCCGATCGATCCGATTCGATACCGAGTTCGGTCGGCCCGATCCGATTCAATTCCGAGATTCCGTCGATCCGATGCGGCTGGATGTTTGCATGGCGTTGTTGTGAGATTTCGACCGCACCGTGTGGTACGAGGGAACCCACCCATATTCAGTGCGACAGGGTGCTAGAACAAATCCCTCCATATCCACGCGTGCTCCTCCTCTATCCCCCTTCTGCTGCTCCATACACACTTCGCCCCAGGAAGGAGTTCGGCCCGGCCACGACGTGGCTGTGGGCGAAGTTCTGTTCCCTGAGCGCCTACGGGGACTGCAGCGGCATGGAACCCAAAGGAGCGGCGGCGTTCCCGCCGCCGCCGCCGTCGTCGTTGTCCTCGTCGTCGTCGTCGTCCTCGTCGTCGTCGTCGTCGTCGTCGTCGTCGTCGTGGTTGTCGTCGTGGTTGTCGACCCGTCCGATTCTTCATTGTCGGTTTCGGAAGCCATTTACTTGCTCTGGGAGGGTAAACACCGATTCATGACTAAAACCGGGGCCTGTCGGCGACTACAAAGGGTCTGGTTTTGCCAGGGTGTGGTTTACGATCGGTGCCGTTGGGGCTTGGGGGGCACGACGCTGTCCTCGTCGGGCTTCCTCGCGTCCGAGATCTCTATCGAGGTCCTCGCCCGCCCCCAATGGTACCGGCTTCAAACCACACCAACCGCAAACCACACCTTTCGGAGTCGCCGAGCCCAGGGAAGCGCTCCAGTTGCCAGGGACCCTAGTCATAAAAACATGCGGCGTTAGAGAAGGATCGTGGACCGTCGACGTCGTGGTTTTCATCGTCGACGTCCACGGAATCGAGTTTTTCACTCCTTTTTTGAACTTATTTCGGCTTCGGAGCGCCTGCCTCCAGAAGTTGTTATGGTGTCCTGGGGCTCGCGCCACGCAGGAAACATGGTCGGAGTGCCTCCTGTGTTGTTCTGGGTCCCCGTGGTTGTCCGCTCGAGGGCCGTGGGACCGTCAGGAGACGGCTCGGGGTGGACAATTCGTCATAGGGGAAGAGCCTCCGGGGTCCAGGCCTCGCCTGCCTCAGCCTCTACCGGCCTGACGCTGAGCCCCACTCCTGAGATTGGCCTCAACTTGTCTCGACGCCGATCCCGAGGACCTCCTCGGTGCGTGAGGGCGCACCCTTGAGAATGAGATTGCCTGTGGGCTTGCCGATCTCAGGGATGGGGATAAGCTCGAGGCTGGTCGGGGCCCGCTGGAGACGTGGACATCCTCGGGAGGCCCGGGACACCTCGACGAAGGCTGCGATGCCTGTGCGGGCGCTCAAGGTTTTGAGCGCCCCCTGGGGGGGGAGGGCCGTTCGGGGCCCCGCTGCCTGCAGATCTGTTTTTTTGTTTGTTTGTGAGTGTGGGTGGGTGGGGTGGCGGACGTTCCTGCTACCCTCCCGTTCGAGGGTTCGATGGGGAGGAGGGGGAGGAGGGGGAGGAGGAGGAGGAGGAGGAGGAGGAGGAGGAGGAGGAGGAGGAGGAGAAGGACGAGGAGGAGGAGGAGGAGGAAAAGGAGGAGGAGTTCGACTGCGTTCGATGAGGAGGATGAGGGGGATCAGGAGCAGAGTGAGGAGGAGGAGGAGGAGGAGGAGGAGGAGGAGGAGGAGGAGGAAGAGGCGGAGGAGGGAGAGAAGCATGACAGACGCTGCGTTCTCGTGGATTGAAGTGCGCTCGATTCAGGAGAAAAGCTGCAAGTGGATACTGGGCATGCGGGCTCCCGGGTAGTCTGGGTCCAGCGGGACCGAGGCGCGTCGCACCTCGACTTCCTCGTCTGCGGGTCTGTTCGGTCGGCTCCAGTTCGACGCTGGTTCGAATCTAGGTTAGCCCCAGCAAGACTTAAGCTTGACTCAAGCCCGACTTGTGAGTCGAGCGAGTGAGTTGAGCGAGTGGCACCGGGAAGGGAGCATCTCAGGTAGAGTTTATCCATCAGCGCGAAGTTCGTGCGCGTCCAAGCGGGGGCTGAGGATTAGGAGGGGTAGATGCCAGGGCCAGGGCCATGACATCTCCCCGATTTCACGGCCCCCGCTTGTTTCGGCATTTTCCCTGGCCCAAGTTCGTCCGCGTGGAAGTTTCGGGCCGTGATGCGCAACCCCCCTCTTCATGGACCCCCTCTTTGGCCCATACGACAAAGTTCATATTTACAAAAGATGGGGTTGACAGCCTCTGGAGGATCTCCGAGGGCGGAGAACGTTGAAGGTTGAACGGTACGGTACACGCGGTGCCACAAGCCATTGCGGGCGTCGACGCGACAGGAGTTTTCTGTGGGGCGTTCCAAATGAGGCCCTCCTCTCCGAGGGGTCCTGGGTTCCACCTCGATCGGACTTGGGGCCGAGTCAGATCAGGAGATGCGGCGACCAGCTCCCTCTCGCAAGGAACTGAATCCTTGCGCCTGGGACTCAGAGTGCGAGCGCACTGGCGCGGGCCCAGACTGCGGCCGATCCCTTGCCATCTCCGGCGTTTTGCAGCCAGCGCCTGTGGGGCAGCCCGGCCAGTTTTGGGGGGAGGGGCCAGACGCCCTGGCGCTCCCCGCCCTCGCCCCTGCGGCCGCCGCTCCTCTGCTCCGACGTCGTGGTTGCTGTCTCGCTCGGGCGGCGCGCCCCCCCCCCCCCCCGGGGCTGGGTCGGCGGCGACGTCCGATCCCTGCCCTCGCCGAGCAGGGGCTCGGGCTCCTCTCCGGTCGGCGGGCGCAGGGCCGGGGCGTTGCCCGCCCGGGGGGGGCGTGTGGCGGCCTGGCCGGGGGGCCCACGGCCCCTGCCAGGGCCCGAGCTTGGCGCCAGGGCTCGACCCTGGCAGGCTGCGAGGCGCGGCCGTTGGGACCCTTCGCAGTGGATGTTGAAGCCGTGGGGAGCGTGCTCGTCCGTTGCCTTCTGCTGTGGGCCAACAGTCACGGAACAACACGTCGGCCCAAGCCATAAAGCAACGGCAGGGCAATTTGCAAGTCGAAACGAAAACGGCGCGAATGAGAATCCCAGAGCGGATCAACAGCATACGTTCAAATTGCAATACACGCCGATGTTAAAAATAATGAGCGATGTCCCAGCATTTTGTAACATTATCGAAGCCTAGGGCAGCAGCGTTGCCTTCACGGATGCCGAGCACGTCGAAGCGTTCCCCGTCTGATACGTGGTGGCGGTTGCCACGCTCTGGGTCTACAGGGTCGCCGCAGGTTCGGACGTCCAAGGTCGATCTCTGGCTCAAGAGATCTCGGAGCAAGCACCCTCGTTGCCAACATCGTTCCGCTTCGGCCAGCTTCGTGGGAGTGCGCCCAGATGGCGCAGCAATTCATGGTTTGCCTAAGGAGGGGGAGTTCGATGTGGGGAGGGGGAGAGTCCATCAATGTAAGGCCAGCGCGCGGTGCAACCATCGCACATTACTGTGGGGCGGCCTGTCACACCCCCAAGTCGTGGTCGCTGTGTGATACGGAGCACTGGTGCGCTCGACCGATTAGCAGATGGAGGATGTTGCGGCAAGGGTGCAAGTTTAGGTTCACAACCGCGTGGCGAGCGGCGGGTGAAGCGGTTAGAAGGGCGAGCCGGGGGGCATTCTGTCGGTTGCCAATCCTCCACGTTGTCCGCTGTACATGATTTCCAGTGCACGCGGCGACACATAGGACAATATTTGCAGCCGATGGCGATCCAACACGGTTTCTTCAATGAACCAGTTGTTACGAAGCCAAATCATCCCACACGTGGCGCTGTAATGTGTTGAGTTTCTTTAGTCAGCTGGGTTCCCACATGTGGAGTTGCGCTTCAGCTCGTGAGCGTGAACTCAGCGTAGCACGGTCGATCTAAAGTGCTTAGCACTCTGGCGAATGGTTGCGAGTGGCAGCTCCAGCAAAGTGGCGGTAGCCATGCGGCCAGTAGTGTGCAGACGGTGTATTCGATCTTCGGCGCCGTCGCGCTGCATTCACACGTGCGGAGTTGCGTTCCAGCCTGGTGGGCATGAGTTTGGCATGGCAGCTGCACCCTAAAATTCTGGACACTTGCATCGCTGCGTGTACGGAGCAAAGCACACATCGCACACGCAATTTTGCCCATTCCAAGAAGACGTTCTGGCCACCAGCTCCTGGGTCCAGCCGTGGCCGCGTGAGCGCGAGGCCCGAAACACTTGACACGACAACTCCTAATTACACACTGCAACCACGAAGCAAGGGAAAGAGAAAAAGAGAGAGAGAGAGAGACGCAGAGAGGCCAACAACACTTGTTGTCGGCGGCGATCTGCGACGCAAGGCGTCGACGCGCCAGAGCTGCGTGTGTACCGAAGCTGCGCGGCAGACGGGGCGGCGGCAGCTTCCGAGCCTTCCGCCTCGAGGGCGCCCGCACGGGCCCCTCGCGGCGGCGCGAAGACGGCCGCGCTTCGCGCGGCGCCGTCCGAGCCAGCGCGGCTGCCCTTCTCCGAGGGGGGCGGCGCGGTGGCGCGACGCTGGGGCGGGGCCTCGGGCGGCGAGGGGGAGGCGGCAGAGGAGCCAGGGCGTGCGGGATCAGGGCATGCGAGCCTCTGGTCCTGTGTCCTTGCAGCTCAGGAGGAAGATAGGCATTCACAGGCACGGGCCGTCGTCGGTTCCAAGTGACAATGTGCTCAGAGACTATGGGAAGAGGAGGGGAGGGCGAACCTCCAAAACATAGGGAGCATATGAGAGAGACGGGGATGTGCGTTTATCTATTTTGTGTCCATGGGCCCCTTTCTTCATAACTCCGTCTTTAGATTGCACTCGCGTCGGTTAGCGTTTGGGGATCGATGGGGCAGCGCGGAGCTAGCGTCGATTAGCGTCGGCTAGCGTCGCTTAGCGTCAAATCCGCGTCGACTTGCGTCGATCCGCAAGAGCCAATAGGATTGTATGGGAGGCTGCCGCGAGGTTCTGCGGAAAGGGCGCGCAGGAGGAGCTGGAGGAGGTGGAGGGGGCAGCACCGACGCCGCCGCCGACGGCGACGCCGACAGCGGCTGCGGCGGCGGCGATGCTGACGACCGACCGCGCCAGAGCTGCCCTCGGCCCTGGTGAACCAGTTCCTGGACTTCTGCGAGAGCGGCGCGGAGCCCATGCCCGAGATGGCCAGCGGGGAGGCGCTGGAGGGGCTCCAGGCCCGGCGCTGCTCGAACAAGTTCCAACCCTAGGGAAAAACACGACGGGTGCGTTGTTGTTGTTGTTGTTGTTGTTGTTGTTGTTGTTGTTGTTGTGGTTGTGGTTGTGGTTGTGGTTGTGGTTGTGGTTGTGGTTGTGGTTGTTGTTGTTGTTGTTGTTGTTGTTGTTGCTGTTGTTGTCGTCGTCGTCGTCGTCGTTGTTGGTTTTGTTGTTGTTGTTGTTG